TATATAAAATAAATAAAAATTCATCTTATTATAAAAATAAATGAAATTTTTTTAAATCTAAAAAAAATTTATATTTACAAAGTAATTCTGAAATATTTTATTAGAAAAGTTTTAAGTGAATTTTTTTTCAAGTCAAACAAGTGATTTTATAAAACAGTAGGTTTTTACTAAAAAATCATTTTTTGTATTATGTTTTTATATACCGTATAAAATATATATAACTTTGATAAATTTGGTTTATCAATATTTGTTAACCTATATTAAATGTCAAATTTGAAAATAAAAATAATAAAAAGTTTGAAAACAATTTTAAATAACTTTATACTTAGGATTTTTAATTGTACTATTTCAATACCAGATTAGTATTAAATGTAAATCTATTGTGAGTTTAATATAATAGATTATATATCCATATATTAAATTTATTATAAGTCAATATTATTTTAATATTAATATCAATAGTATTTTATTAATTTATAATAAAAATATAAGAATTTTTTTTTTGAAATACTTTTGTAACTATTAATTTTTAAATAAAAAAAATTTTTTTAAATGTAGTTAATAATATAGTTAATAAAATATTAAATCTGTAAAATAAAAATTTTATTAACAAATAAAATTCAAGGTATAAATAAATTTAAGTTAACAAAATATATAAAAGTTTTATAAAATAAATATCTTGACCAAATTACAAAAAAGAGATAAACAAAACAAGTATTAAAAAATATTATTATAATAAAAAGTAAAAGAAAGATAAAGTTAATAAAATTACAAAATAAACAAATAAACAATAGAACCATAATAACATTTTCAAGCCAATTAATAAATAATAATAATTCTATAAATAATTTTATAAAAATATTGTCAAGATAAATTATAATAATAAGCTATAATTAATAAATTTAAAAAAATTTTAAATAAAAATAAAAAACCATTTATTTATTTTCAATATTATATTTATAAAATTCAATATCAAAAACAAATATTCAAATATAAAAGATAATTTATATATAAAAGTTTCTATATTATCACCTTTCTACTTTAAATACAATATACTTATTTAATTATAAAAAAAAAGAAAACCATGTATTTAAAATTCTTAATAAATAATTACTAAAACAATTTTTTTAATTACTTGACAGCTTAATTTTATACACAATTAATATAAAATATAAATATTGATTAATAAATGGTTGAATATATTTTTTTTAAAACATTTATGTTAATAAATATTATATGTAGAATATTAGTTATACTTTAGCAAACAAGTAAAAATCTTACAAAAAAACAATTTTTAAATTTTAAATTGTTTCACTAGTATTTAAAAGAAATGTTATCAAAAGTCAGATCACTTGCAATGTAAAAGAATCAATAAAAGAAATTTGACCGTAATTGAAGGCTTAAAAGTGAGTCTTGTGAATTTTATCACGTTATGGATCATTAAACAATTCAGATTACACGATTAGATTTCCATTTCTACCAGCGAATTCTTGGATCACTTACGTGAAATTATCAATTAGTCGCTAAATAATTATCATATGGCACAAAAAGTGATTGTTCATATTGTACCGGCGGATGCATATGAGGTTTCGTCGGACTATGCAACTACGTAACGCTACTAGTATACAAAAAAATTCTATATAAAGAATTACGATATATAACATCTTTTTTCATCCCTTTGCTGAATCATCAAGGTTCGAGTCGACAACTGGCTTCGATTTTGAATCAATGGTTTTTTGCAAATCCATGTACGTTTCCAATTCTTCAAGGGTAAGGGGTAGGTTGGACGGCAATTTGAACGCATACAACCTCATAAGATGACGCGCTATATTTTCCATATGTAGATATATGTCAAGGAAAAACTCGATGGTGTATCAATGTATGAAGATCATAAGAAAGGATATCTTCCAATTCTGCATCAAATAAATCCCACCATGGCGGAGAGGTTGGTAATTTGACCTGAGAAAAACGCACAGCAAGCCAAATTACAGCACACGCTATGGTAGGCGGTTGATAGCATACATATACGTTTGTACGTAATCTATCTCAAAAAGAATATCCAATGGTGTTGATAAAATGGATAAGAAGATTTTGTAAAGAAAACATGAACTACATACGCATCGTTTAAGTAACCCCAAGCCTTCTGTGGAATAACTTCATGTTCGGTCAATTCCAAGACCTTTAGGTAATTTACCATTAATCCATAAGGTAATTGAACATGTACGTCGAACCCGAGTCTCCTGAGAATTTGCATTTCTGCCATCAC